CCTTACGTGCTCTTCCCAAGAGAATCCTTCTGAGGTTTGGATTCGAATCGTCCCTCATACTACACCCAAGTCCAATGCGATTAGTGCATTTAACTATCAGATTGATGCAATCTCGTCGAACTTGGCCTATATTTCGGCGCGTACACGGGTTTCTACGACTACCAAGTGGAGTGGGGTACAGGCAAGAATGGATATGTACGCTGGATGCTTCACGGCGAGCCTCTGTTCGAAGTCACGACGGATTCGATCGTCAACGTCCTGCAGAATGCGAAAAAGAACAACCCGAAGAAATAGGAGCCTTTGTATGTGATTTTCAACGTGTCGCTGTCCAGTTCTTGGTGTGCGACGCCGCCCAACCCAGGCAAGGAATGTCGTGGTGATGGAAAAGATCCTGTGACGAACGTTATCTGCGACTCGTTCCCGATGTACATGAAGATCGACCACATCCGTCTGTATCAGGACTTGGCGACGGATCTCGAAGCTGATAATTACATGCAAGTTGGTTGTGATCCAGCGAGTCATCCGACTCAAGAATGGATTGAAGCCCACATCGACGAGTACGAAGATAATGATAATAAGTGGGAGGAAGTGGCTGGCAAGGCGTTCTGCGAGACCAGCGACGACTGCACGATTGGTGGCACTTTGAGTCGAACGGCTCTAAAGACCGGGAAATTGTTCAAGTAGCGTTGCGAATGTATGTATCATTCGTGGGGTGGACCACGATGCACCACCGCCATCTCTGGCTCCAGTTCTACGGAAACTAGTTTGAAGAGCAGGACGTATAGCCCACCGATGGAAGCGTCGATTGCTCTCGCTGTTGTGGCCTGTTTGCTGTCTTTAACGTCCGTATCGTAATGGACTCCGATCAAGGCACGAACTCTGGTTTACGGGGTTCTGAGAAACATGATGGCTGCCACCAGTAACAGCATCTACGTCACAAGGAGCAACATTTTTCTTGTCACCGAATGATCGTATTCAGCTCGCACAAATTATTAAGGACATAATTGCTATGAGTACGGAAGCTAACTCAACCAGTCCCATGACGACCGAGCACATTTTCGGATGTCTATAGAGTATCGCGACCAACCCGGCTTTGCTGTCCAACGTTGCGGGTATGATTTCGGCTGCGAGAAGTGGTAACAAGGGTGCATTGGCAGGTCACGTGGTGGTTCTGTTGCGTGCATCACTTCCTGCAGCTATTCCTTCTCAGTTGCTGTCCCAGTCGCTGCTCCTGCCCCCGTTTCAGCTCTGATGATGCCTGCTGTAGCTACTACGAATGCTGCCGCTATGGGTGACATCATTGCGGATACAACGTCGACATTGACGTAGTCGTTGATTTACGGTAAGCAGCTTGTCGAGAATCCTCTAAGTGCATCTGAGTTCATGAAATAAATGAAGTCTCAGTCGCTGCTTCAATTTTCAAAAATCAACGTTTGCATTAGCAATTCTTCTTGTAGTTTTCGAGAACTCCTGGCTATAAAACACATGACGACGAGAAATAATGGATAAAAACAAGTTTAACCATTTAGCAATTAAACCAAAGTACATAATGAGCAATTGTAGCAAACGATGCCTAAAAACTATTTCTGATGTCATTGTAAAACCCAGAGCATAATACTACACAAATTGGCGAACGACATGCTGGTGGGTAGAGATCTAACTACTACCTCCAGGAATCAAAAGTTAGGATTACCTTTTTTGGAGGATGTGGTCTTGAAGCGCACAGCCACAGAACTACTGGCTTACATTTCCTCAGGTACGCTTTTCTACGTCAAAACGGACCCGACAAAGGAGCATACGCTGTCGGGTATAACTACTGCAAGGTAATTGGTCCTCTTAGCAAAAATAGGTACTACCCATAATCGAAATAGGTAGCCATACGCGTATATTAAAGACCACTTTGCTAGCCAATCAGACTGCTAGAATCATCGGAATGCTATTTGATTGGTCAAACCGAGGACATCGGCGAAAACGTGACTTCAACATTGAAGCTCGCAATGTTTTGGCGCGAAACAAGCCGCTTTGGAGGGTCAACGATTCAAACTCGCGTGCGGGGGCGTCGAGCGCGCGCCAAGCCCCAACGAGTGTCATTCCGCAATTTCCTTTCTTGTGAACACTCGGGTTCATACCGACTGCCCCCACCCATCTCTGCTAACCCACCCGCCGCCTGACACTGACCGATGTCACTACCATTGCACGCTGACTGACACCACCGAAATCTCTGGTGGAAATGCTGCTCGATTCCCATGCTGTCGTCACGCTGGTCCACACATAAGATGCTAACGCCGACAAGTCGCTGTCGCCACGCCGGTCCGCACGCTGTACGATGCTAACGCTACATGGGCGCCGAACGTCAGTCATACATGCTGCCCGTTTGGAGCGATACCGTTGCTACACTGGCCGCTGCAATCCCTAACCGATGTGAACACGAAGCGTCAGCGGCAACAACAATCATGCGCGGTAGCTACTACGACGGTTTGTACACGGTGTGGCTGGTGATTAGACTGCGAATTTCCGACTGATGTCCATTGTGTTGGACCTGCAGCGATTGCTACACACGCTGCTCGTCAAACGCCAATTCATCTTGTCGGCAGGCACGGAACAGTGCGAGAGGATGTAGCCTCTTTGCTAGTCGTTGGCCACCTTGACTAATGCAAATTTGTCCCACCAGCAGCCACTTGCACCTCGCCGATGGTCTGGGAGAAAATGCAGTTTACGATGACTCGCAACCGGCCATATGGACATCTGACGCAATAATATCTTCACGTTGAGAGCTACCGAAGCGTGGTTTGTCCTCAAGCTTGCAGTGTAGTGTGGGTAGTTTTGCTTACAAAAATCTGCACCAACCAAGTATCTATAAATCCACTTCTCATTTTTTTTCATATAATCAAATTGCTGTACCGATGCGACACCGGAACTAGTGACCAGCGGTCACGTGAGCCACGTGAGCCTAACGCGTAGTCCTCTTGCTTGCCTTTGATCGGAGGAAAGGTGCCTGCATTTTTGTATATCGAAGAGCTTCGCATGAGATGACCTTTCGAGATTGTAGACCAGATTAGGCAGATAATATCCATGGTACTTCTGCCAGCATGACCATGACGCTTTCTTGACAAAGATGTGGGCTGGGATGTATCGAGTGATTAGGTTGCTTTTCGCACAAAAGTAACGTTGTGCCTTTCCGCAGTATTCTTCCGGTTTGGGGTTGGATTCCTGCATTTACTGCCATACTCAGTATATTCTACACATTTGCCACGACGCTTCCATCGACTTTTGATCCTTGTTCCTTCTTGATTTCACTGTGACATTAGCATCTTATGTCGTCGTCACATAGATTTAAATGTCGTACGCCTCTAGATCCGTCTTGCCGTCCAAGGTTGGCGCCATGGCCACCTCCGTCGTGTGGTGTGGCCGTCGATTGTTGTTATCGTGAGTCCCAGCTTGCTGTCGACGACGGTGGTGTTGACGGTCGTCATCTCCGGCGGGTCATGGACAAAAAGCACCTCGTTCGTCTGTTGCTGCCCCTCCGGAACCGACAACGCACTCGTATTCATCGCCCTGGTCGCAGTACTCGCCCTATCCGCGGGTGCACGTGCCACCGCTACGTGATCGTCGACCCGTATGTCGGTATCCTCAGTCAGTGATTCCATCCATCGACGTCTCGGTCTCGGTTCCGTAATGAGGGCAGCCTCGGGGAATCTTTACCCTATCTTTTAGATGTTAGACGCCAACAAATGATTTTCTTTGCTGAAATCACTATAGAGCGCTGCAAACGAGACATCGGTGGTTGATCCAGAGGATACAGGCATCGCGCAGAAGGTTTTGAGTACGGCACCGAGTATTCATTGCAAGATTGGTGCGAATTCCGAAATGTCAAGACAGCGGCAGGACGAGGAGCGGAACAAAAGTCAACAACCCAATATGTCGGCGGCCCACGCATTCAATATTGCGAACGACGACTCGGCAGGTGGCCCAGAGATGGGAAACCAGGATGGGAAGGAGATGGACCAAGTACCGACTGTTGAAATCAAAGCGGATGCCAATGTTGAGTCAAGGGAAGAATCCGTAGCGGCG